CCCTTCTCAACATTTGTAACCCCCCTCCAAACTTCCCACGATTTTAATTTATATTCACCACATTCCCTGGCTGCCTATCCCCCCTTTTCCTCCTGCCCAACTTCCCCACCCACGTTTTCCACCCTAAAGAGGTTTTCCTTCCCTATACATTCCCTTTTTCCCTCCAACAACATTCTTTTTTCCCCACATCTTCCCATCCTCTCCCTCTCATAATTATTTTCCCTCATTTTTAATGGACAAATCCTTGCCGCCTAATTGAATCTCACCCCAAAACTTTTTTTTTCCCAACAAATTTTTAAAACTCCCCCCCTTCTTTTTTTCCTTTTTACTTCTTCCACCCTTTAATTTTCTTTTTTCCCCAAAATCCCCCCCTTGCAACCTCTTTTTCCCAATTTAATTTTTCTCCCCTTTTTCCCTTTCCCTTTTTTCCCCCCCAAACGCCCCTTTTTTCTCACCCCCCTCCCCCCCAAATTGCAAAATCTCATTTTTAAAAATTCCCCCTTTCCTTTCCCCCCATCCCTAGCCCAATTTATTTTTAAATGTTTTTTTTTAAAGCCCCCTTTTTGTTTTTTTTTTTTTTTTTAATGTTTCTATTTTTGCCCATTTTTTCCCCGGGGAGTTTTAGAAAGGCAATTTTGGGTCCCCCCCTTTAACATTTCATTTAAGCTAATTTTTTTTTCCCAAAATTAATAAAAAAGTTTTTTTCCCCCCCAAATTTTGTTTTTTTTTTTTTTTTAAAATTTAAAAATTCCCCCCTTTTACTTTCAATGGGTCCCATTACATTTAAAGGGCCCCCCCCCCAAAATTACCTCCAACCCCCCAAAATTTCCCCCTTTTTAACCCCCCCAAAATTTTTCCCCACGGTTAAAGGCCCCTTTAACTTTTTCCCCCCAAAATTTCCTCCCCCTTTTTTTTCCCCCTTTTCGGGGGCATCACCTTTTTACCCATTTTTTGCATCCCTTTATTTAACCCAAAATTCTTTTCTTAAAAATTTTTTTCTTTTAACATATTTAAAATTCTGCTCCCCTTCCGCCAACTTCTCTATTTTTTTCCCTTTTTTTCCCCCCCAAAACCCCCCCCCCTTGTTTTTTTCTTGGGCCGGAACCAACTTTTTTTATTTAAAATTTTCCTGTTTTTTTTCCCCCAAAAATTAAACATTTAAGCAACCCAGTTTTTTAAAGTTTTTCTTCCTTTTTTTTAGAAATTGTATACAGGAAAAGGGGGGTTACTAGCCATTGCTCCGGCATTTTAGTCGCCCCATCGACAGCGGCTTCGGAGGAAAGATTTTTTTCCCCTTCCCCATGGACAATAAAAGAAATAAAAAAAAGAACAAGAGCTATTTAGAAAAAGGAAAAAAACCTGATTTTTGTATATTTTAATATATGCATGTGCGTGTCTGTAAATTTGGGGCCCAAAAGTGTAAGTAGGAAGCAAGATATCCCTTTTATCTTAGCGTGTTTATGAACAAAAAAGAAACCGAAAATCCTCCCCTCATGAAAAACAGTTAATTTTTTTGTTTCACAGTCATCTGGCGGACGGTAGAACCCCCGGGGTGGTTGCTGTCTCCAAAACCTATCCCTGAATTTAAACCAAAAGTTTGCGAAAGGACTTGGGGGTTTGGTAAGCAGAACCTTAAACAAGACAGCAATCCCAAACGTAGTAAAAGGCAAATAGATTACTGGGTTTATTAAGAAGTGTAAGAAAAGAAGTCCAGAGGTCTAGCGTTTTATACATCATTAAAAGGGCCCTCCCCCTAGTTTATGCACCCAATTTGGTCTCCATATTACAGAATGGACATAAATTCGTTAAAAAAAATTTCAGCGTGGATGCTAATTAATACATAGCATTAAAAAATCTTCCTTATGAAAAGATTAAAGACTCTTAAGTTACTTCCTTGTTAGACGAAGAATGGGGGGAGACCTTCGAAGTGTTAAGGGGAAGATAGGTTTAATAAGTGGATATTACCAAGGTTTTGAGAATATCTCCCCAAGAGAGAACCCCATTTAATGGATTTAAATTGATAAGTTTGATTTAAAAAAGGGATGGGAAAGTAGGTTTTGGAAAAATAGGGTAGTTGATGGTGGAACAGTCTACTTTTGGGGTTTATTGAGGCTGGGTTTTGGGTAGTTTAAATTTAGGTTGGATAAGTAATGAGTGGGAGGGTTGGATTTGAGTGGGACTTTACATCAGAGTTATTTATGGGTAGCATGAAAATTTGGTTGGTCAAATTTTGTTAGGGGGATAAATTGTAAAGGCCCCTGCCTAGTATGGCCACGGGCCCTGCGCAGGGTTCCCCCTTTTCTTATGTTCTTTGTTCAAATTTCCCTGGACTGACCCTGTGGAACCCCGCTTGTCACGGCCCCCACTCTGCCCCTCGTCCGTACCATGACTCGTTTTTTCCCTCCCTGTCGGGTATTCTCTGATCCATTGCAGTCCCTTTCCGTTATGTTCCCGATCCTCTAGTTTTTGCAGTAACCCTTTGAGGAACTGTGTCGGGGGCTTCTTGCTAAAAAAAAAAGCAGTCGACCACCCCTCTCTCTCTTATCTTATTCTGTCCCCTTGTCAAAAACTCTAGTAGGTTTGTGACTCAGGTTTTTCCCTTCCCCTGAAACCATGCTGGTTGTCGTTTATACCTTTTTTCTTTCCAGGTGCTCCACACTCTCCTCCTGTGATTTCTCCATGCATTGCATACTGTGTGTGTGTTTTGTGGAGCGTGAATGACCCAACAAACAAATAAGAACTAAGAAAAAAAAAAAGAGGAACACGCACAGGCCTGTTTGGCCCTTTCTAGGCGGCCCTTTACAATTCATCCCCCTAAAAAACATTTGCCCAACCCCAAATTTTTAAAGCTACCCCAAAAAAATAAGCTTGATGTGAAAGTCCCCCTCAAATCCAACCCTCCCCTCATTACTTATCCCAAAACCCAAAAATTTAAGCACCCCAAATCTTGCCTCAATAACCCAAATGGAACGTTTTCCCCTCATCAACACCCCATTTCCAAACCAATACTTTCCTAGTCCTTTCTAAAACAAAAAAATCCCAAATTTTAAAACCATTACTGCGGGTTTCTCTTTTAATAAAGTTGGTGAAAATTGGGGAAAATTCCTCAAAACCCTTTTTAATATCCCTTTTTAAAACCTGTCTTCCCCTTATACACCTCGATCAGGTCTCCCCTCATTCTTCGTCTAAAACGTGAATGTAACTTAAGAGTCTTCAATCTTTCTTCATAAGGAAGATTTCTAATGCTATGTATTAATTTAGTCTTCCTACGCTGAATGTTTTCTAACGAATTTATGCCCAAGACTGATCCCTGTGGAACGCCGCTCGTTACTGATCCCCACTCGGATTTAACCCCATTTATGGACACTCTCTGCTTCCTGTCTGTAAGCCATGATTCAATCCACGAGAGCACCCTTCCCCCAATGCCATGAGCTGCTACTTTCTTCAACAGTCTTTGGTGTGGAACTCTATCAAATGCCTTACTAAAATCTAAGTAAATAATATCAAATTCTTTATCGTGGTCAACAGCCTCAAAAGCTTTACTGAAGAAAGTTAATAAATTAGTTAGACAAGACCGGCCTCTTGTGAATCCATGCTGAGTATCATTAATCAAGCTATGCTTATCGAGATGGCTTCTTATAATCTCAGCTATAATTGACTCTAGTAATTTGCCTACAATTGAGGTCAGGCTTATTGGGCGGTAATTTGACGATATCGACTTGTCCCCTGTTTTAAAAATAGGAATTACATTAGCCATCTTCCACATATCAGACACTACACCTGTTTGAAGTGATAAATTAAAAATGTTAGTTAATGGTTCACAGAGTTCCATTTGCATTCCTTAGAAACCCTTGAAAAAACCTCATCAGGACCCGGTGACTTATTTTGTTTCAGTCGGTCTATCTGCTTCACAACCATTTCACTAGTGACTGTGATGTTACATAATTTATCTTCTTCTGGCCCACTATAAAGATTAATTACTGGAATATTATTAGTGTCTTCCTGTGTAAAAACCGAGACAAAATAATTATTTAAAATCGAGCACATTTCATTCTCTTTGTCAGTAAGATGCCCATAGTTATTTTTTAGGGGACCTATCTTATCTCTGACTTTTGTTCTATATACCTGGAAAAAACTTTTTGGGTTAGTTTTAGAATCCCTAGCAACTTTAATTTCATAGTCCCTTTTAGCTTTTCTTATCCCCTTTTTAATGTCCCTCTTAATGTCAATATACTGATTCATAAGATGACCCTCACCTCTTTTCATACGCCTATAAATTCCTTTCTTATGCCCTAGTAGATATTTCAGCCTATTATTCATCCATTTTGGGTCATTTCTAATTTCTTTATACGGGATAAACGTTCTTTGAGCCTCATGTATAGTGTTCAGAAAACTGTCATATTGATAGCTCTCTTCGTTACCCCAGTCAACAAATGATAAGCATTCTCTAAGCCCATCGTAATCTGCTAAGCGAAAATCTGGGACTGTTACTGAGTTATCCCTACTATCATATTTCCATTCAATGCTAAACGTAATTGATTTGTGATCGCTAGCACCCAGTTCATCTGAAACTTCTAAATTATTAACAAGGGATTCATTGTTTGCCAGAACTAAGTGAAGCAGGTTATTACCCCTTGTAGGTTCAGTCACAAATTGCTTCAAAAAACAATCCTGAACTACTTCTAAGAAGTCGTATGATTCTAAATTCTCAGTCAAGAAATTCCAATCAATATGACTAAAGTTAAAGTCTCCTAGAATTACTACATTATCGTGCCTTGTGGCCTTAACAATTTCCTCCCATAGTAGTCTCCCCTGGTCCCTATCTAAGTTTGGGGGACGGTATATCACACCTAAAATAAATTTTTCATGCCCCTCTGAAAATTCTATCCAAACAGACTCTGTATGTGTTATTTCAGACTTAATACCCGTTTTTATGCAACAGTTCAAGCGATCTCGGACATACAATGCCACCCCACCCCCCTTCCCGACACTTCTATCTACTTGGAACAATTTAAAACCCTGAATGCGACATTCTGCAGGCATGTCCCGATTTTTTAAATTAAACCACGTCTCAGTTATGGCAAATACATATTTGCACTAATAACTCATTACAGTTGTGACCGGGTGTGGACATGTAAATTGTTTATTACTCTATAATTTGTTCATGATTGTAGTCATGTATAAACGTAAGTAAGTAAATTTACTTACTTACATAATTCATTACCTTTGTAACTTGTGAGCCCATTACCGTTGTACCTAGTTCAGCTATCAAAACTTTGGGGGCCCAGTCCCTGGACCCATTATGTACCTCTGTAATCTTTTGACTACCGCCCACAGGATGGGGCGGGGTGCATAATAAACATATTAAACTTAAACAGGCCACCAGACCCTACAATAATACTTTTGATATAAAACCAGAACAAAACATAGGATTTTGGAAACATAATACACAACTGATGGGACATCCAGTAAAACCACTACTACACATCACAAGTTCCATCACAATAACAAAATGTGATCTATTTAAAACCTGCCAGCTTGCAGTGGCAGCGGTAATGACAGTTTCAAAATAGCCACTTGAGGCACCACAGGCTAGTTTGGCGGTGGCTCCTTACGCATGTTTGGCGGTGGCTCCTTACGCATGTTTGGCGGTGGCTCCTTACGCATGTTTGCTCATAATTATAATGACTATCCTTCATTTTTTTTATTACACATACGCCGCTTCCCACCAAGGCAGGGTGGCACGAAAAAGAAAAACTTTCATCATCATTCACTCCATCACTGTTTTGCCAGAGCCGCGCTTACACTAGTTACAATACTGCAACATTAACATCCCTCCTTCAGAGTGCAGACACTGTACTTCCCATCTCCAGGACTCAAGTTCGACCTGCCAGTTTCCCTGAATCTCTTCATGAATGTTACTTTGCCCACACTCCAACAGCACGTCAAGTCCCGAAAGCCATTTGTCTCCATTCACTCCTATTTAACACGCTCATGCTTGAACATTAAAATGGTATAAAATACCGACAGGTTGTTAGGTAAGACACATATGCAACAGTTAGGTATCTTTATTTCGAAACTTTTCGCCTACACAGTAGGCTTCTTCAGTCGAGTACAGAAAAGTTGATAGAAGCAGAAGATACTTGAAGACGATGTAATCAGTCCATCACCCTTAAAGTTTTGAGGTGGTCAGTCCCTCAGTCTGGAGAAGAGCATTGTTCCATAGTATGAAACAATATGGAGATGAAGTGACAGGATGGAGCCTTATATAGCCTTACATCGTCTTCAAGTATCTTCTGCTTCTATCAACTTTTCTGTACTCGACTGAAGAAGCCTACTGTGTAGGCGAAACGTTTCGAAATAAAGATACCTAACTGTTGCATATGTGTCTTACCTAACAACCTGTCGGTATTTTATACCATTTTAATGTTCAATCTGTCAGACACTGCAACACAAGGGTATCTTGGTACAGACCTGCAATCAACTTCGACAACCTCTACTAGTGAGAACGGCTGGATTTGAGAGGGACCTGACCTCCCAACATCTGCGTTCTTACCTCTTCTAGTGACCTACGTCTCACCTCACTTCATCTCCATATTGTTTCATACTATGGAACAATGCTCTTCTCCAGACTGAGGGACTAACCACCTCAAAACTTTAAGGGTGATGGACTGATTACAGTATCTTCTGCTTCTATCAACTTTTCTGTACTCGACTGAAGAAGCCTACTGTGTAGGCGAAACGTTTCGAAATAAAGATACCTAACTCACGCTCATGCTTACTGGAAGTCCAAGCCCCTCACACACAAAACCTTCTTTACCCCCCCCTCCAACCTTTACTAGGCCTACTCCTACCCCGCCATCCCTCCATTACAGAGTTATACACTCTCGAAGTCATTTTATTTTGTTTCATACTCTCTACATGTCCGAACCACCTCAGCAACACCTCCTCAGTCCTCTGGATAATAGTTTTGGTAATCCAGTACCTCCTCATAATCTCCAAGCTACGGATTCTCTGCATTATATTCACACCACACATTGCTCTCAGACATAACATCTATACTGCCTCCAGCCTTCTCCTTGTTGTAACATTCACCACCCATGCTTCACACCCTTATAAGAGCGTTGGTCTAGCTATACTCTCATACATTACCCTCTTTGCTTAAAGTTCTTTGTCTCCACAAACTCCTCAGTGCACCACTCACCTTTTTCCCTTCGTCAATTTTATGGTTCACCTCATCTTTCAGATCCCCATCTGCTGACACGTCCACTAATAATTATCTGAATATATTCACCTCCTCCATACTCTCTCCCTCCAATCTGATATCCAGTCTTTCATTACCTATTTTTTTTCTTATCCTCATCACTTTACTCTTTCTTATATTAACTTTTAATTTTCTTCTTTTACATACCCTACCAAATTCATCCACCAACCTCTGCAACTTCTCTTCAGAATCTCCCAAAAGCACAGTGCCATCAGCCAAGAGCAAATATGACAACTCCCACTTTGTGTTAGATTCTCTATCTTTTAACCCCACACGTCTTGCCAATACAAGAGCATTCTCTTCTTTTACATACCCATCTACAAAGTTATTGAACAACCACGGTGACATCACATATCCCTGTCTAAGGCCTACTTTTACTGAAAAATAATCTCCTTCTCTCCTACATACTCTAACCTGAGCCTCACTATCCTGATAAAAACTCTTGACTTCTTTCAATAACCTACCTCCTATTCCATACATTTGCAACATCTGCCACATTGTCCCCCTATCCACCCTGTCATACGCCTTTTCCAAATCCATAAATGCCACAAAAACCTCTTTACCCTTATTTAAATACTGTTCACCTGTATGTTTCTCTGTAAACACTTGGTCTACATACACCCTACCCTTCCTAAAGCTTCCTTGTTTATCTGCTGTCCTACTCTCCGTCTTACTCTTAATTCTCTCAATAATAACTCTACCAAACACTTTAGCAAGTATACTCAACAGACTTATTCCCCTATAATTTTTACACTCTCGTTTGTCCCCTTTGCCTTTATACCAACGAACTATGCATGCTCTCTGTCAATTCCAAGGTACCTTACCCTATTCCATACATTTATTAAATAAAAGCACTAAATACTCCAAAACTATATCCCCACCTGCTTTTAACACTTCTATCTTTATCCCATCAACCCCAGCTGCTTTACCCCCTTTCATTCTACCCGCTGCCTCACGAACTTTCCCCACACTCACAACTGGCTCTTCTTCACTTCTATCAGATGTTATTCCTCCTTGTCCTATACGCGAAATCACAGTTTCCCTAACTTCATCAACATTTAACAATTTATCAAAATATTCCCTCCATCCTTCCGATACCTCTAACTCTCCTCTCCCATTTTGAACTGTCAAATCCATTCATTTCTAGGCTTTCTCAACTTATTAATCTCACTCTAAAACTTTTTCTTATTTTCTGCAAAATTTGTTTTTAACACATCCCCCCTACTCTCTCATTTGCTCTCACCGCTCTCTTAACCTCTCTTTTTCTCTCCATATATTCTTCCCTCCTTGCATCACTTCTACTTTACATAAACCTCTCATATGCTAGCTTTTTCTCCCTTACTACTCTACTCGGGCACGCATAGCTTACGGAGGAAAGATTCTTTTCCACTTCCCCATGAAGAATAAGGGAAATAAAGAAGAACAAGAAATATTAAGAAAAAATAAGAAAAACCTAGATATGTGTATGTATATATATGCAGGTGCATGCCTGTGTAGTGTGAAATAAGTGTAAGTAGAAGTAGCAAGACGTACCTGTTATCCAGCGTGTTCATGAGACAGAAAATGGACACCAGCAATCCTACCATCATGTAAAACAATTACAGGTTTCTGTTTCACAGTCACTTGGCAGAATGGCAGTACCTCCCTGGGTGGTTGTTGTCTACCAACCTACTACCACAGGACGGTAGTACCTCCCTGGGTGGTTGTTGTCTACCAACCTACTACCACAGGACGGTAGTACCTCCCTGGGTGGTTGTTGTCTACCAACCTACTACCACAGGACGGTAGTACCTCCCTGGGTGGTTGTTGTCTACCAACTTACTACCACAGGACGGTAGTACCTCCCTGGGTGGTTGTTGTCTACCAACTTACTACCACAGAACGGTAGTACCTCCCTGGGTGGTTGTTGTCTACCAACTTACTACCACAGGACGGTAGTACCTCCCTGGGTGGTTGTTGTCTACCAACATACTACCACAGGACGGCAGTACCTCCCCGGGTGGTTGTTGTCTACCAACCTACTACCAAAGGACGGCAGTACCTCCCCGGGTGGTTGCTGTCTACCAACCTACTACCACAGGACGGTAGTATCTCCCTGGGTGGTTGTCTACCAACTTACTACCACAGGACGGTAGTACCCCCCGGGTGGTTGTTGTCTACCAACCGACTGTCACAGGACGGTATTACCTCCCTGGGTGGTTGTTGTCTACCAACTTACTACCACAGGACGGTAGTAT